TCATGTAAGTGGGCTCTATTATCACCAACAATCTATTGCTTGACCTGGAAATTTACAAATGCATTGTTAAAGCAGCAGCTGTGATGGTCAAATTGAACAAGACAGTATGGGACAATAGTTGACATTGTACACCAAACTCAAAGTGTTCCAGCCATTTGCCCTTGTACCCTACTTTATGGCAGCAAGTCCTGAATGACATATGCCAAGCAGGAAAACCAACTGTGAAGCTTCCATTTCTACTGTCTACAATATATCCTAATCATCACATGGAATGACAAAGTTACCAACACTGCAAGTGATGAATGAATTTTTGTAAAAACTGCAAGTGATGGAGGAATTTTGCCAGTGAAAGGAATTATAAATTTTCAGCATTTTTGCTTCTCCCTATTGATGTATCAATATATATATTATTCATTTAAAATTGGTTACATTGTTGTCTTCAAAAGGTTTTTATTCAGACAGCAGGGAGATATTTTTTTCCAATAAGTCTTAATTCATTCAAGCAAGACAGTAAAGCCACTAAGAAACAAGGGGTTACTAGATGTGGAAGTATTGTATATATGTATATTGATAAACCATGGATCTGTGTCCAAAGAGTTATGTTTCAGATGCAGCACAGTGTCTGTCATGTCTGTACAGGCCCACATGGTAGTGACTGTCTTGATTGCAACAAATGCATATGAAAACACTTTCTCCCAATGTCATTGTCTTTTTTCTTTCTTTTGAGCACACTTCTCCCAGCAGCAAGCCTCCATTTCTCCTCTTCACACTCCAGCCCGTGGTGTAAATTGTGTCTCCAGCATGAGTATTAATGGTGATGTCTTCACACCTCTTGGTGTCCCTGTCCATCATCCTCATGTCTCTTTTACAGACATCTTTGAAGTGAAGATGAGGTTGGTCTTGCTAAAGGACCTTTGGAATCCTCCCATCTAGCATACAGTGTACATGTCCGAGCCTTGCAGAGTCAGCACTGTTGGAGGTGGCATATAGGTTGGGTAACTGGGCACAATTAAGAACTAAGGCAGTGATGATCTGGTCAGACCAATTGATGTCTAGATTGCATCTCAGACAGCAAAGATGAAAGGTGCTGAAGCTTTGCTACTGTCTGGATTAGATGCTCCAAGTCTCACTGCTGTAGAGTAGCATGCTGACAATGTGTCTTTTTCAGGGTGCAAACGTGGGTAGAGTTTTATGAGAGATTGGTGGTTGCTCATGTAGCACGTCTCCCCTCTCCATATCACCAATCATGTCCAAAGGAAAGGTAGAGGCCAATACAGCTAAGCACCATCGTCTTTGCAGGAGTTGCTAGAACGAAGTTGAAAATAACAGACTATTCCAGCTCTGAATTTTGGGTAGATGGAACTTGCCAGCTCATGAGGGTAATCCATCTAAGAGAAGGAAAACTCTGAATTTAAACCTCCTCTGCCTTGTGGCCATACCCAGTTATAGGAAAGGTTTTGGAAGTAAACCCTGAGGAATTATTAGAAAACAGAGACATTACTAAGGAGTGAGAACAAAAGAAGAGTAATCAAGAGGACAAAATCCTTAAGAATAATTGAAAATAATTTTAAGATAAGCCTAATCAGATTCTGACAAACCTAATCAAGAACATCAACTAATTAACCTGGGTATTTTTGTTTCAATATTTTTCTCAGATAAAATAGTTTAATTGGCTGGAATAAGTTTTTATTGTACCTAATACAATTTTTGTGAAGAAAAAATAAACAAGATTCTGGGAACTGACTTTTTTTGCTTACAATAGTTACTACATTCAGGGAAATTCTTTATAATAATGCAGTTATGAAAAAAAAGATTATTTTATAGATAAACCATATTTGATCCTGTCAAAGTTGACAGCTTTTTATTCTCCTGCTTAATTAGGTAAGATTTAATTGAAGATTTGTTTTTTCAAGTGTTTGTCTACTTACTCACACTTTTCTCTACCAATCACAGTGAAAATCCAATGACACTTTGTCAAGATATTTGGTGACAGTATAAAGCAGAAGATGGATCCATGCCTTTGTGAAGAGCGTTAGGACAAAATGATCAGTCTTGGAATTCAAACCTGGTTTGCTGATTCAATTTTCTGTGTTGTAACTGTAATATGATTTTGTGTGTTCACTCAAATACAGTTACAAAATTGATTCAATATTAAGCATACAAATCTGGAAAGTAGAAAAAAAAATAAAACCAGAAAAAAAATGGAGGAATACTTTAATGGAAAAATAAGGTTTTCAAAGAGAATTGATGTATTTTTTTATCACAGGAATTTGACAATCTGTACATATACAGAAAAAATCTTTATAACAAAAGTATGCAATATTGTAAAATAAGAGGAATGTTTTCATTTTTCTTTAATATTAAATATTTATCATTAACAATACAATAACAAATTTTACAAATAAAATTATACATCCAAATTTCACAAATTCATTTTTACTTCAAGTCATCCAATCAAATAAACCACACAATGCTACAGTAACACTCAGAACCTTGAACTCTCAATAGACAGCTACTCAGATCCCTATCAGATTCAAAGAAATATTTTATGTATAATAGTAAAACAAAAATAAAAAAGTATATGAAACTGGTTTTACAGTTTAATTTTTAGTTTGCCTCAACAGTTTATTAGAAACCAGTATCTCTAATAACAGATTAAAAAGAAAAAACTTTCAGCAACTAACCTGTACCCCAAAACTATCAGTAATCGTCAGTTAACATCAAGCTATACCCAAAACAATCATGATTCAAAATCCTTATCTGTCCTTAAATAACCCTATAGTGAATGAAGTCCCATTAAGCAGAAACAAAATCAAACCACTCATGCATGCACACACAATTCTGACAATTTTCCTCTGAGCCTAGGAAAATTCTGGAGGTGTTTACTTCAGTAAATTGTTTATACAAATTGAGTTAAACATCATTTTATGAAAATATATGAATAATCATAATTATGAAATGATGATGAAGTTATGAATTCAAATTATGAATAATAAGAACTCTGCCTTTTTTGTTATTTGATCTTGATATATATACATTTACAAATAACTATATAAACATGTGTATTTTATATATGTATAAATAATAATTTTAAGGAAAACTGAAAGATGGACTTTTAGTGTAATTATTACTTTATATTTTGAAATTCTTTGAAATAGTCTGAGCTATAATCTTTATAAAAAGTGATTGTATTTTAAAATGGAATTTCAAAAATCAAGTTGAAGTTTGGGGTATAGGTTAGTTGCTGAAAGTTTTTTTCTTTTTAATCTGTCATTGGAGATACTGGTTTCTAATATAATTTATTTTCTATTCAGTTTATGATACAAATTGGTTATTACACATTGCATTGTTATTTTGAGTGGGGGTATCTATGAAGTCTAAATGGTTCTTTTCCTGCAGTTTTTTCAAAAATGTGTTTTTCACTGTTCTACGCTTTTTCTGAATATAAGTTATGCAAAATTAGTGTGAATACTGTAGGGGGTTAACCATTTAACATATAACAAAGAATTATAATAAAAAAGATTAAAAATACTTTGGCACCATATTCAATAATTCTTCACAACACATGCACAAAATATTAGCTTTGTTAATTTTTACTATAAATATTAATTATCCAATTTATTTTTAAGGTGCTTCTTGGATACAAGAAATTAAATGGATTGAACTCTATGGAATGATTCCAGTTCTGGAAAATTTGACATGAGTTTTAATTGGTGTTATCATAACAATAATAATAATTAGATTAGATCCTGTTTATTAGGTGACCACAACATCATGTAATTAAATTATATTTCCTCTGGATGATCAGGAATATTAACTGGTGGGATTATATTGCAATTTAATTAAAAAAAAACAAAAACAAGGCAGCCAAGAGCAGAAATGATGACAAATTAATAAAAAAAAATAGAGTTACAGCTGTGATAATCAAGAGAGAACAATTAACAATTGATCCAGTAGCAATGAGCTGAACTTGACAGAATCATGAAAAGATGACTGAAAGAAAACATTTTTAATTCTAACCAAACAATATCAATATTTTTTTTAATTGCCTTAGTTATAGAAAAGCATCTTATAAATCCAAAAATATATAAACTGTGAAGTTTACAAGTTTTACTAAGAAATCACATTTACTTTATTTTAGAAAATATTTATTGTTTTAGAGAGGAGAGACTGGATAATCTCAAGGCCATATTTATCTGATTTTCTCAATATTTTTTAAAAGCTTTGGCTTTCGAATATGTATAGTAATCTCTTGGAGATAAATGATGAAAAAATAATGGTATCATGAAATTCTACATGTTACATTTGACAGCATGCTTTATGATAGAATTAAGAACCATTAGAAAAAGAAAATGAAAGATTTTAATATTACCAGCAAAACGAGTGATCTGGAGAAGGAAAATGAATGATTTGTGTGGTCTTGTCAACATATAAAGTCCTGCTACTTTTAAAAATCTTGTGAAGAAGCTGTCAGTAATATGTAATGAACAGTACATGTTAACAGTCCACTTCTCAAATGATAGCAACATGAAATCAATATACTCAATACTGTTGAGTATACTCATGTAAATGTTGAAATACTGAACATTAATAGTAATCATACAATAGTAGAAATAAGTTTGTTATGTATAAGACAACATAAAACTTTATGCAGACAAGTATTAATTATTTGCTACATTTTTACAAATTATTGTAATATTGTTTCACAGAAATAATAGCTGGTGAAAGATATCTTTTGAAAAAATCTATATACAACTTCTAAGCAAAATAGATTTTCAACAAATAAGAATGTAAAACTAAGTCAATGCATAAATACAAAAAGTTCAGTATATGTTACCTGACAGTTTTTTTTATGGATCTCTTGTTATTTTCTGAAAAACTAATCAAGAATGAAAAATACAAATTTTTTGAGTTAGTAGGATCTTGTAAGCAATAATTTATGAATTTAAAATTGAATGATGAAAATAGAAATCATAAGGTTAAATTAAAGTAAACTTTGGTTAAGCAATCCCTGTTGTTAATGAAGATGACTGCTTTGAAGGGAACTTGATGTTCAATTCAGGACAAATTTCTTGAAGTATCACTTCAATAGTTCCCTGCAAAATAAAATGAACTCTTTTAAACAGTTTAAAAACGACCTCTTTTAATCAAAAGATTCTTGGAATGTTTAAAAAAAATAATAATAATATTGAGTGTGTTAGCAAATCCATTTGTTTCATTTTTTTGCTGTACTGTTAAAAATAAAGTTGGTTGAATATACACATCTAGATATAAAGTTGTTTGATAAATTGAAATGAATCACAACACACCAACATAGGTCAATAAAAATCAAATTTATAATAAGCAGGTTATAAATAAAAGAATTGTATTCCGAAGTGTTTCTTTTAAGTTACTGATTCTACTCTTCAATGTTATTACAAATATCAATGTATTTTTAAACTGAAAGATAATTTAGTGTAATTATATTTATGTATTACAATTATTTTAAAATATAACAACTCTTTTTATTCTATCCTTTATTTAGTCTGAGTAGCTGCTATTGTTTTTATCTTCATACCAGTGTTATCAGTCCCTGTCTGTTAGTAAATTTAAGTAATTTCAGATGATGCCGAAAATGGAATACCGCTGCCATATATGGGGATGAAGCTGCCGGGTCTTTACTTTTCAAGAGTCCAAAAGTATTCCCATGTCCTTGTGGGCAATGAATTGTTTTCTACCTTACAACCTCTTTCTCACAAATGAGACATTTCAAACCTCTCACTGCTCTATTGCTATTTCCATGGGAGAGTGTTCAGATAAACTACACTCCTTAGTTCCACCAATCTCCTAACTTTCATGCCTTGTACAGGGTGAACAACATTATAAAAAAAAAAAAGGGCCTTCTTTCAGATAAGCAATATGGTGTTTGCTTCTCTTGCTGATGTATTAAGAGTTACTCTGCAGAAAGAGAGTCTATCAAGGTTTAGATGAGACTGGTGAAGCTTGGGCTGGATTTGGATATCTCAAAAGCATTTGACAGCATTTTGCATGTTGGCCTTCTTCATAATTTTAAAGGTCATGTTATTTCTGGACAAATTTTTGATTTGATTCAATCTTTCTTATCATGTTGCCAAATTGAAAGTTATCTTGATTTTTTCTAGATCTTTTTGCATTAATGCAGGTATCCCCAAGGGCTCTATCCTTGAACCTACATTGTTTATAATTTTCATCAGCAAAAATGACTTGTTAATTTTAATGATGCCAAAACAAAACTTCTCTCTTTTAAACATCTGAGAGAATCCTTTTCGCCTTCCATCAGCATGGCTGATGGTAACTTCTAGCAAATTGACACATTATGAATTCTTGGGCTAACATTTTCTGTTGGCATGAAGTGGAAAAATTATATTGAATCAATTGCTAGGTCTGCTGCTAGGAAAGTTGGCTCACTGTGTTGTGCTAGACAATTTCCCTTGCCAGAATCATACACATTTATAAGTCTACCATTCATCCATGCATTGAATATTCCTGTCACATTTGGTCTAGTGCTTCTGCTATGTATTTAGAGATTCTTGATAAAATACAAAGAAGAATCTGCACTGTTATTGGTCCTGACTTGGCACCTCAGCTTCAGCCACTTTCCCACTGCCATAATGTAGTTTCCCCATGCCTTTTATATAAATATTTTCATATTTTTTGGCAGAAATTAAAAAAGAAATATTTATAGCTTTGTAAACTATGACAATATATATCTTAGATTTTACCTAGTGAAAAATGACAAAACTGAAAAACATGGCAAATGTATTTGTACTATAACAATTGCCTTTCTAAGTGAAGAGAAAAAGATTTAATTTTTGAGGATTAAATTCTTTTTTAAAAGTTTTTAAATTAGGTATACATTTTTTTCTAGTTAGATGTAAGTAATGTTATATTGGAAACTTTATAACAGAGAGGATTTTTTTCTGTGCTCCTATCAGTTTTGGTGATGGAAGCTAATGATTTTGAATACATTACTGAATATTTAATAGCTCAATTTATAAGCTAATAAATTTGTCTATTTAATTAATTCTAGATTACAAGCATAAAAAGATGTGCTATTCTTTGCTATTTCTTATAAGCTTTATTTTAACTTGTACATTTTTGGCAACAGAATTGTTTTGCATCTTTTCTTCCACTTAGAAATGATTCAACCTTCTTAATTTATATTAAATGATTTTCACTGTATTGTTTTGGTTTCATTTGGATTTCAGTAAAAATCTGATCAAAAACCAGACCTTAGTGCTTACTGCATTATACAGCTGAGACAGTAGAAAACTTACATGTCAAAACTATTTTCTAACAGAAAAGCACTTGTAGGGTAAATGTGCACAAGAGAGATAAGTTAATTAAAATGGTATAACATTATAGCAAACATGAAAAGTAGAACAAATTTTCAACATAAAATACTATTCTTTTTATATGTGGCTTAGTGGTCAATTTTGTAAGCAACTTTGAAATAATCAAATGAGCATATGAGCGGAAGTTTATTAGTATTATAATTATTAGATGAAGTATTGTCAACCATTAATTTTTGACTCATATTTCTTTCATCTTAATTTCAATTGCTTTTCATTGTAACTACCCAAACTCTTACTGTACAGACATTAGTTAACTGTATAGTATTTGTCTCACCCCAGATCATACCAGAATAAACTTTGCACTCAATGTCCTTAAGAGAAGCTAAGTCTTGGGCTGATCTGAAAAATGACTCCCTAGCTGGTGGAGGTGGTGTAGATTCACGATTCACCTAATATCAATGGCTGCCCCAACATGTGAACATATTATTGACCCAGCTATGCCTGGAATGTGATGTGTGAAAGGACTGATTACAGTTATATAAACACCCTTTTCCAGATGGACATTCTCAGATATCCATGTTCAGAGAGGGTCCCAGAGCCACATACTAATTATTATAAATAGTAATTATGTCCAAAGTCAAATAAACAGTAATATTATGCATGAGAGATTCAGTCTCATGTTTTCAATTATGTAATTGTAATATTACAAACAGTGAAGATTGGAAATAAAGTATAAGCTCTTGATGTGGTTCCTCAAACTCATCTCTCTTTTTCCTCAAGAAACCTATCTTATTGTAAAATAAGGATACAGGTTCAACTCTTACCAAGCACTTATTCTTTATTTTTGATCAGTACTTTAGAATGACAGTAATTGTAATGAAATGAAATTAAGATTAAAAACTACAGGTTAGCATAAAGTTGTTTAAAATTATCTGAAGATTTCACTGAAAATCACAGATCTAAGCTGTTGTGATGTCTTCTAGTCTATGATGTAGAAGTTCTAACCCTGTACTTAGTGATGACTGACTTACTAGTAGCCACTTTATGCAAAATCAAGCAAGTCCATTTTGCCTATGTTACTATGCCTCCCGGAAACAAAGAGATTTTATGCCCTTCTTTGGTCTTAACTTCTCCATACAAGCTCTCTCTCTCAAGTGTGTACCTGGTTCTTTTTATTGGGAATCTAGGTCTGGATTCATCTTCATTCTGATCTTCCAACTCCATGTCGAGTTCAGGCTAACTATCCACCATAGTTTATTTACTACTATGTTCATTTTCTCCATCTGGAAGCACTCATGCTTTTCTCTTTTTCACGTTCCTCCTCCTCCCCATCCATCTCAACTTCTTCATCGTCAATTCTAGGTCTTATTTGATCAGAATGAGCCAATAAATTCTGTCCACTTGTTGTTATTTTAACTGTATTATGTCTCTTTTGTGCAATAAAATTATCTTTTACAGGATTCTCGGTCTTTTTTGTACCACATTTTTATATTTATTGAATCGGATATTGTTATAGGCAATCTAATTTGTCTTCCTATCAATGCAGAGGGATTTTACATTCTACCAGCATGTGGAATAGTTCTATAATTCAGTAATAGTTTTGGTAGGTAACTATTTATGGTGTCTTTGGATGGAGAAAATGCCTGCAACATTCTGCAATTCCATTTGATTGCGGGTGGTATGGTGGTATTTTATAAAAGGGGCATCTAATTTGTTTTGACCATGAACACAAAGTTTCATCACAAAATTGTGGTGCACTGTCAAAGATTAACGTTTTTGGCACCCCATTTCTGGGAAATATTACTTGTAATATTTGCTTTACTGTGGCTGTCTTCTTTTTTTTATACATCACACAAATACCCAGGCCACCATGATTCCAATTTTAATTGTTTCTGTGTTGCTGTTATTCCACAATGAACATCATCATGTACACTTTTTATTACATCTTTTCTTAATCTCTCCATTGGTATTAAAACATCTCCATTTATGGGGTCTCCTGCCCTAGAACAATCACTGTATTTGTTTCTTTTTATTCTACGTGGAATCTTGCTTAATACCAGATCCTGTAAATTTTCAAATGCAAAACGATCTAAGGGCAATACATCTGCTTCAATCAAGTGAATTCTGAATTATCTGATCTTTCTAATGGTTCATTGTTGAACTTTAGTTTTGATAGAACATCTATATATGGAATAGTGTTTCCTTTCACATATTCAATGTCAAAGTCAAAAGCCCATCTTAAAATTCTAGAATATGTAACTTTAGGTAACAGCATCCTGGGGTTAAAAATAAACTTTAAAGTTCTATGGCCAGATTTAACCAGAAACTTCCTGCCTAATAAAAATATTAATATGAATAGTTAGCCTTGGCTGACATTAAACTTCTAGAAAGGTATATTATAGGATGACCTTGAGACAAAATTACTGATACAACATGCTCATTTGTGTCCATAGTTAAAATCACTTCCTTTTTAGAGTCAAAAATTTTTATAATGCGTTTTTTTATAAATTCTTTCTTTAAATTTTCAAATACTGTATTCTGATATTGAGTCCATTTAAATTTGTTGCTCTTTTTCCATAACACTGCAAAAGGTTCTATTAATTCACTATACTTTGCAAATATCTGCTGTAAAAATTGGCTAAACCTAAAAGAGATTCCAATTCTTTTTTATTTATAAGTCTAGATACATCTACTATTTTCTTTATCAAATTTGTGTCTGGTGAAATTCCATCTTTGGAAATCTGGTATCCCAGATATGTTGTTATGTCGCAATTTAATACTCA